TTATGGACACTCAACATGAGACATCGTTAGTTGTAATTTTATTTGCCTATTCATTTTGGTAATGTTCATACTCTATTATAGGAGCTTATGATACTCTAATTTGGTCATAGGTTGAAACAAACTAAGTTTTTATTTCATCGGGTCATGTTAAATTGGTCATGTAGTATATAGCTGATGATTTGTATAATGACATATTGATATGAGCCGACACTCAAAAACATATAAAGATCCCTATGAGATATAAGTAATAGTCCTATTATTTTTATTGTATATTTATGTTTGATTTTTATTAGAGCATAGTTTTTAAGAACAAAATAATAATCGTGCAATCCTACCTAATGCTTCCTAAAAAATAAATAAATGAAAAAAAAACGCACAGTTATTCAAAACATACTCATAAACATACAAGACATTTTCATGGTACTCCAAACCTAAACAACTCACAAACAATGTTAAACAAAATAATCAAAAAGATGCACCAAATAAGTCAACTGTATAAAGAGTATTTAAGATAATTATCAATATATATAAGAGTATTTAAGATGCACCAAACTTGCTTATCTTGCTAAACACCATGGTATTATTTAAAATAGACATCAAAGGGAGTATTGAATAACAAAATCAGTCACAATGTATATTTTACCAATATCAGATTTTTATAATTTTACTAACATACCTGTGTCCCGTAATAATTGACACATTCAAAGCATTAGTTTAACCATGGATATATATAATTATATATTATTATATAAAATATTTAAATAGTTGATATTATGAAACTTTACATTAATACCTACTACCTCTGTTACATATTAAGTGTAACAAAGGATGTTGCACTATTCCCAAGAAAAAAATGAAAAAGCTGATCAGCAAAAGTATGGGCATGTAATTATGGAATAATTAACTAATTAATTAAGAAACTCCACCCCATCCACCATCACTACCACCCCCTGCACCACCGCCACCTACGTACACCACTCACAATAACCACCAGCAACAGTTAGCCACCATAGAAACCAGTCAAACCACCATACCAACCACCGAAATCTCAATGCCAACCCATAGAAAACACCGAAATCAGCGTACCAACCACCATACCAACCAATCGAAAACACTGAAATCACCATACCAACCAGCGTAACCACCATACCAACCCATCGAATCACCCTATCAACCACCGAAACCACCATTCCAACCCACCGAAACCATCAAAACCCCATACCAACCCCTGAAATCACCATACCAACCACCAAACCCACCATTTTTGCTTTAGAGCTGAGTTTAATTTCAAGCTCAATCTTAAATTCTATAGAGTAGGGTTTCAATTTATGGTAACAGCTTTAACATGTGAAGAGAAGGCGGCGGCGGCAGTAACGAGGGGAGGAGAAAGTGCATGTGACTTCGACGAGGAGGGGCGACGACTGATCTAGACGGCGGTGGTGGTGCGTTGGTTGTTAGAGAAGAGAGAAAAGAGAAAAGAGAAAAGAGAAAAGAGAAGAGAGAGAAAAGTGGTGGTGGTTGAGAGGGAGGAGAGAGAAAATAAGGTGGTGTTGGTGGTGGTCTAGTGGATGTGGTTGTGAGAAAGGAGAGAGAATGTGGATTGGGACTTTAATAAGTGATGAATTAATTTTGGTCAATAGTTAACAACATATGATTTGATGTGTTTATTAAAGTTAAGTAAGGGTAAGTTTGTAATTTCAAATAGAAAATTTACTAAAAGTGAAAGGTTTTTGTTTGTTACAGATAATGAATAGCATTCCTTTTTGAAAAATGTTACACATAACACATAACGGAGGTAGTATCTAAAAACATATTCCATAAAATTTGAAAAAAACTATTGTCAAAGATAGTACATAAATAGTGAAAAAAAACGTTTTACTCCCGTAGTCCATAAATATAGTTCTCATTTTCCATTTTGGGCGTCTTGAAATTATTGTTTTTATTTCTTCTTTTCATTTTTAGATTATTTTAAATGACCAAAATACCTCCACTTTTTCAAATTCCCATACAAATCACCTTACATTTTCTCTAGTTTTTGTCCCTATTAAATGCTTTTTTGGATTTATCACTTTATTCATTATCTACATTGTACTATCCTAGAGTGAGGAATACCTCAAATGGTTAGAGAGCTTTCCTCCTGATTTCAGGAAGTCCTGGGATCGATTCTCACCCTTGCCCCATCGTGGACTCTCTATACATTGTACTATTCTAGATTTTTATTTTGTTTTAAATAATGTACTTTTATGTTATAAAAAAAAATGTACTTTACCGTTTTTTATGAAGTTTAACATAATTTTATTCCTATTTCTTAATTTTCCTGAAATATGAGAAACGGGAATTATATTATGGGACGGAGAGAGTAATAATTTTAAAGGCCTACATTGACTTTTCAATCATGTTTGTAGACCTATATTCCCTGTTATGATTTGTGAAAATTCTTCAAAATAATCTACTCTAGGCTGCATCTTCTACTCCTTGGAAATAATAAAGATACGAAGTTCATCAAAATCTTTATTCAGTCAATTGTTAGCTTCAGATTTGCGTTCAAAAGCAGAGCTACATGATTACATGTGTGTTCATTTTTTTTTTTTTTTTTTTGAAAGAACATGTGTTCACATATATGTACACTGCAATGTCAGTGATTTTTTCCGATTTGTTCTTCGGATACATATACAGTACATTTCTTCTAATCTTCTCAATTAGTGACCCAAAAAAGAGACTGCATAATCTCTATTTCAGCTATATACGCTACCAAGAATCCCATATGTTTTCATTATCAACCGACTAATTAATCAAAATACATCCTCGAAATAGAGCTATGTCTACTTTAACTACGGCAAAAGTTGAGGATTGATTAGTAGTAATTGGGAAGACATTCATGTCTCACCCATGGCACAAGGAATGCAAGGTGGATTTTTTGACTGATCTTCTGGAGTAATAAGCTGCAAACAATGGTCATGAAAGGTGTGGCCGCAAGGTAGAGCAGCTACAGTTGGTGGAATAGGCGGTTGTGAAATAGGGCCTTCAGGTGCAAATGATAAGTCTCTCTTGCACAAAAGACACTTGAATCCAACTGTTGGAGGAAGATCAAAACCTACAAGCAAAAACCGTTGTTAATAACTTCTTGTATTGGGTAGTACCGTAGTATGTACACTAACCAGCACAACAATATCTTGAAACCACAGAACACACAGCATGCATGATAACTAAAGAATTTGACAGGAAAGGTTACAGCAAGTTTAAGCTCAAAATTTCAAGATAGCTAAGAGTAATATGCATGAATCAACAGATTGAAGCTAATATGGGGACAAGGCTAGCAAGGGCCAATGCTCAGCTCTGTAGAAACTATCATGAACGGAAAACCTTGTACAGTTTTCATTAGCTGAATAAAGTAAATCAATAGATAAATAAGAGACCATAGAATTTTTTGAATTAATTTAGTGGAGTAAATTTCAGTGGATCAGACAAAGCAAGAGTGCATCAATTATATTATTTCAACGCAGCAAGCAATAGAGCAAGGTGTAGAGTCTGTAGACTGTACAGTATAATGCCACCTACAGCATTATGAAGGAAAACCTAGTCTCGGCAGTACCATTAACCAATTCCAACGCAGAATCTATATATAAATCTCCGAGATACCAAAAAAAATAAAAAATTAGGGAATCCTCCACATTGACACATTGTTCCGAATAATCAGCAAAACTAATCTTTTCTCTCGCTGGTTCCCACAGTAATTGGAAAATGGTAATGAAGGTCATGCAAGAAATGGGACAGTAACAAACAAAGAACACCCAAGGATCTACACATATACACTTCAAAAAAAAAAAAAAAAAAAATTCTCAAAAGCTCTGGATAGTAAAAATTTAGAATTAATAGGTTGAATTAAGTAATAAAGTCTTCGTCAAAAGCTTTGAAAGATGGGCAACAAAATTCACTATTATAAAAAATTTTACTATGTTCACCTCACAATATATATGTGTTTGAAGAAGCAACTTCAAAAGCGAAAACTTCCCCAATTTAAGCCAGATAAACATCTTAGTAAATGAAGGATGCAAGAGAAGACACACACATAAATACCTTGAAACTTTATATGAGGCATTGAACTTGGAACTTGTGATGCTCTGTAACCTGGAGCTGCCTTTGCTAAGGCAGCCAAGGCAGGCAGAGACTTTTTCCAGTCACTCAGAGATTGACGAGTCATATTTGAGTTGGTCTGGAGCAAATGAATCTTCCGAAGAGCAGCCAAAGCAGCCGCTTTACGTCCAGAAGAAGATAAAGCTGCTGATGCAACTCTCTGTGAATTAGTTGCTGGGATTGGAACTCTTGCTGAGCCAGAGCGGTTCTCTATTGTCCTAGCTAAAGGGGTTGATGGTGCATCCATGGGTGGTGATGCAAAAGTAGGACTTTCAGCTGCAACCATAGCAGCAGTGGAAGTCTTTGAAGGGGCAGCTGCAGAGCTTGTCATTGAACTGGGGATATCAAAAGACACCTCAGCAGAACTATGAGTAGCTGCAGAAGTTGCAAAATTCTGTGTGACCCTCGCTGTATTAGAGGCTCCATCAGTCTTTGTTTCAGGAGAAATAGATGTAATATTCCTGGTACAATCCCAAGCAGCAAAATCCCTCTGTATAGCACTAGGGATATTAGAGGAGTTCACAGCGGTAGTAGGCTGGCATAGAATGGCCAGTTGTAGCAATTTGCCCCAGAGCATTCTGCAGTAGATCTGGTGAAAATTGTTGCACTGATGTTTGAGGCATGATTTTCCTGCGCTGATCATGTATTCAAGCCCGGGGAGGAAAATTTAAGTTTCGTTTGAGAGAATCTCTAGTGACAGCTGTAGAAGCCTGGTGATGTTCATTTTTCACTGTGAAGTCAGCTGTTTGACCTAATAAATCAGAAATCACATACTTCAGACCAATGTAGGTTCTTACACATAACATATATCAAAATCAAAATGAGGACATATAAACCTGTGGAATGCAGACCATGCCCAGTGTAAGGTGGATAATTTTTTCCTGTGATTGAAATTTAACATCATTATATGACATATCATCATATCAGGGAGGTAATAAGTCTTTGAAACATGGCATTCTGCAGTTCAGCTAATTTAACTTTTCGGAGTTCAAAGCCTCTACCCACAAAATGTCTCATCAAAGCAGCAAACATAAAGCATACATAAAAATACAAAATGCAGGTAAACTTGCATTTTAGGTACGAAAATAACATGTAATACTAGTAACTAAGATGGTTAAACTACTTAAATGATCTTGGTGGAGATATTTCTGCTGTAACAAAGGATACACAATCAGCTTGCAGACTGTAAGCCACCCTATTCAATGGCAGTCTTTCCTTATTCACACAATTAATGTAATAATGTTTTGGCATCATCGTTTCTGATGATAAAGTTATAAAGAAATCAAACAAAAGGGCCTGACTATGTTTCCTATTTTATAATAAAATTTCCTCTAGTCCGCAGTTGGCTAATGCTATAGCAATAGCATGCTAGTATCACGTAACTATTGTGGAATCAGCGGCAGCACAGTAGCTACCTCACTTTCAAATATCTGATTTATCATCAAACCAGTTTGTACTGTGGGAAAATTACTGACTTAGTACCGTTTCATCTGAATGAAACCTACACTGTTTAGAAATCATTAGGCAGTTCATTTAATGCGGTTAACATAGTGTAATGAATAACTAAACACATGAAGCTGAAATGGCAACACAAACAAGGTCAATGTTTTTGCTGCAAATATACAAGGCAATTAGCTTTTAAAGTAATATTCAGAAAAACACACTTTGAAATAAACACTTCAAAAGTACGATTTTGTATGAGTCAATAAGTAGACTATATACTCTATAGGATGAACAAATAGTATTCACGAATACTTGAATAAGGCAGATTTTCATTAATTTATTGTAAGACGGGTTAAAGTTACCCTAAAAGTATTTAAAGTTATCCTTATATACTATAAAAATAACAACTTTTAACAAAAAATTTACACTTAAAAAACACTCATAATGTATTAGATTAATCATATTAGCCTTAATAACATGTATCTATTAGAAAATACACATTAAAATACAACCAAACTTATTACAAATTAAAAGTTACCTTTAAATGTGTTAAAGTTACCATAAAAAACGTTAAAATTACCATCATTCAATAAAATTAACAAAAGTCCGTCTTATACGAGACTTACTGACTAATATTAATACTCCTTACAAAATCACTATAGTTGCTTTAGAAAATTAACAAGTAATAACTTTGCAACAAATAATATTATATCATAAAATCCAACCATATTGACACAATGACACATAGATTTGGGTTATTAGATGTATCTATGGACCAATGATATCATATCAATATCATAGATAACCAACCTAAAAGATTTTGCCAATGTAAATAATCGGGACAATGAACTAAAGTTCCTAAAGCAGTTGAATTGATTTGGAACCAAAAGTTATCGCATAAAGATTGTGCTTGAAAAGCATACAATAATTAAAAGCATTTAGTCTTTATTATTTCACCCTTTACTTAAAATGTGTCACTCTACATTTTCGAATTTTATTAAAAAATATTAAATAGATTATTGAAATAATTATAGCTGCACAGTTTAGGATGAAAATGATAAAAAAATAAATCAAAAAAAATTTGGAATAATTATATTCAATGTAACAGAGCAAATTTAAACCTCTCCATACAGTCTAAACATACAAAAAGCTAGAGCCATTATATCTTGGTCTCATCTACCAAATGAATTGGTTTTCCTTATTCAATGAATGCAAAATGATGCTACAACATTTCACATAGCTTTTTGTGCAAGATACCACTATATATCAGTCAGCCATGAAAGAGGCATGTCCAGCTTTCATATAGATGAGCATTTATTGTAAATTTACTGTATCAAGCATCAACTCAGAAAAGCCTGTTAAAATACATATCCACAACAAACCTCACTTAGTTAGACTGCTGAAAGAAAAGGATGTATAGCACCAAGTTACCAACATCTTTGTGATAGCAAACTAGATTTTTCAGAATAATCTTTCATAACAAAGCAAAGAACGTAGCAAGCAAGCACTGAAAACAGACATACCTGCTGGAAGAAGCCCACTGGAAAACTGACGGGCAGGCATACCAGCAGAAAGAAACCTACTGGACCGGGGGACAAGATCGTCTCCAATAGGCTGAACAGCAGAACTAGTTGCACAGGATCCAAGTGCAAGGCCTGCAACTTAGTGAGCTAGGGTTATATTCAGATAGGAACTGGCAAACCAACACCAGGAGGCAAAGAATGCCTGACATTTCAGTTCAAAGGAATGACTGACATGTTAACAACGAAAATTATTGATGTGGGGATTGTTGGACAAAAGAGGCGGCATATAACACATTCCATGAAGCAGCAGTGACTGAGCTACCTTTTTTCAAGCAACACTTAAAGCACAAGATTTAGTTGTAAATATTTATTGTTAAGTCAATGAACTGTGACTTTTAACAGCAGAAGCAGTAAGTAACTGAATAGCTTGGCTTTAGATCAGGAGCTAATGTCCCAGAGAGCTTCAGTATTTTCAATCATTCAATGCAGGTCTTTGAATCTCATAAGAGCAGGTTTAAAATTCTTTTTCAGCTCCTAATCAATGTGAGCTCTTTATATCCTAGGACGCAACATTAAAGCTTCAACAAGTAATGGAATAGGTGACTTCTAGCAAGCTGATTTATACATTTCTTGATACTACACATATTTAACATCAATGACTAAAGATGCACAGACTGCTCACCTGACTTGTCATGGCTATCAGATTCTCCTATCCCGGAAGAAGGTGGTATGAGGTTGGTAGTTAGATATGCATTCTGTGGTGGATCAGTAGCAATTTGGTGATTACTTCTCAGAATAGTGGAGTTGAATGGGACTCCTTGCATCCTTCTTTTTACGTTCTTGGCCAATCCTTGATTATGACTGGAGTTATTGGTAAGCACGCGTTGATCAGCTCTAGAGCAATCAGAAGGATCACTTGAATACATACTTGAGCCAGATTCATTTCCAGCTTCTGAGGTTCTGCCGCTTGGAGTGGGAATATAATGGTGCATGGTCACCGGCCCTCCATAGAGGTTGGAAGTTGGATTCATATCATGCCTAGAATTCATTAATTGCGAACTACCACCACCAGAAATGTTTTGATTGCCTGAAGAATCCCATGTCGTCACAAGACCATCTGCATTATTCTGAAACCCTGCCAAGCCCCGCACATTGTTAAAGGAATTATAAGGTGATTGACCTTGCGAAGAAAGGGGTGTCTCACTCATATGAATGGCTCTCTCACCATAAGTGTTGGAGTTCACGTAAGAAGCAACATTGCCAAGTGACAAAAATCTTCCATCAAGTCTGTCCAATCTGTTAGGTTGAGACATATTAGCTCTAACTTGGTTATCATACACTCTTGGGACAGTAATTTGGTTGACCTGAGCTGCACTTTCACTGAAATTAGTAACATTTCTATAGTGCCCTGTTGGCTGTCTGATGCTGTTTTGTGTTTCTGCATCCAGGTGGAAGTTTCCAACCCCACGATTAACAGCATTAATGGAATTTCTGTCAATGATACCAACATACTCAAATTGAGGTACCCTACTCATGCCATGATAAGAGGTCATCACATTGTTAGGAATATGATATCCAGAACTCATCGAAACCATGCCTACACTAGGAAAACTGAAACCCTGATTGTCTAGAATGGGATTATCATCTATAACAATTATATTTTGGTTAATAGGTATATTCATTGGATTTTCATCTACATTAGTACCTATATTCAAATCATTTACAGAGGCTCTGGGTAAATTTCCTTGGTATCCATAAAGATTCCTTGCAGGCAAAGGAGAAGATTGGAGTGGGGTAAAAGTGAAGGGATTAGGGCCACCAGTGCCACTATCATTAGCAGGCAAAGCTTCTTGAGGATTATCATTCTGCAACTGAGGTACACTAATAAAACCCTCATAATCATCTTGCCTTTGATTTTGATCACGATTTGCCATGCCTCTGGATGAAGAAATAAGATACTACTATCAGATTAAGAGCGAAAATGAACAGTCAAAATATTGAAAACGATTAACTATCACCTCAACTTAGTTATTGTTGTATCAATCAAGCATTTGTGCTCAGAGCATACCACAATCAGGCAACATAGGCAACAAACTCGACAAAATCAACATCCTAAATTTTTTATGACTAATTGTGTCATCTACCACTTTTCCTAAGATAAGCTTGCACTGATCAAGTAATTACCCATAGACAACAAAAGCAAAACATCGAAATCCAGCTATTCAACTCACTACACCCTTCAATGTGCTGAGAAAACTATATCAATCCATAAAACTCCTCAAGTACTGCACTAAGCCAAAAACTCAAAGTTCAAAGATTTCACTAAAGCATTCCACTTTCGAAACAAAGTAAGCCACCCAGATTAAAGCAAGCACTATAAAACCCATTAAATCAACTATCCACTTTTGAATTAATCACAAATCAAAAGGCCAAAATCTTTACCTAAACGGTAAAACCCCATAATTCAGATGCATAGGCACAATTCAAAATTTAAACCCGTGATTCTACATTTTATGACAAAAATCTAACCTAATTCAAGTTCATTTCAGCCAATAAAAATCATCAAATCAATACTTTCACAACCCACAAACCCCACCTCAAAAAAATAATTTTTTTAAAGAAAAAAAAAAAAGAACACCCATCAAACAAAATTCACTCCAGAACACAAAATTCAATCATCGGAATACAAAAAATACATATAAAAATTCAAATTCAAATTACAACAAAAGACAATACCAAAAAAAAATTAAAAAAATGAAAAAGTAAAAGAAAGGTAATTCAATCGTAGAATTGGGTAAGATAGAATTACCAGAAAATCAAAGAAATCGGAAGAAATTGAAAGAGGAAGAAGAAGAAAGAGGAGTGAGCATGAGTGTACGAAAGCCAAGGTGGAGCGGAGAAGGGAGGAGAGAGAAAGAGAAGAGGGGGTTTGGTTTTTGGCGCTGAAGAAAGGGTGAAGCGTTTTAAAGGGTTCGGTGTGGGACCTAGTTACTACTAGTAGTATACATACTTCTTCAAGGAGAGAGAAAGACGTAAGATGTAAGATTGTGTCCCTTTGAAGCATTCTGTGAAGTCTTATGTGATGTAATACAGCTAGACCTTGTGTACTAGGGCGGGAGGGTAGAGTTGTCAAAGAGGAGTTTTAGGAAATTGATTTTGGCACATCCTTAATTGATTTTGGCACACCCCTATATGAGAAGAGCATAGAAAGTTGCGCTCTCACATTAAGATGTGCCAAAATTATTTCCCGAGTTCTAGGGTGATCAAATTGTTTTTGATCACCATAGGCCAAAAGTGGGCCCAATGAGGTATCATCCTCATGGCCACCAAAAAAAAAAAAAAAAAAAAAAAAAAAACTTCCTATATTTTGTAATTTCCAAAACTCAATTATATAATTTTCCAAAATGTTAAAAATCAAGTTTAAAATTAGATTTTGTTATTTACGTAAATCAGAAAATGAAATAATCAGAAACTTTTTTAAAAAATTAATTAGTAATTAAGATTGTTGATACTAATTATTCTCTCTCTTAGGGTTTACTTAACCCCTTTCTCTCTCTTTTCTCCCGGTCATCGCCGGCGATGATTCCTAAACGGCAAATTCCCTCCGAACATCGCCATAGTCTTCATAAACGTTTGGAATGGAGCTCGTATTCATGGAGACTATCTTTTTTTCTCTATATTGTGTTAGATTTACTGATAATTGTACCCCCTTTCTCTCTCCTCTGTACCACCGGGATATGTTATCCGAAAACCGCTTTAAATCACTGCGAATCGCTTTCTGGAAATAGATAGCCCTTGTATGGAGTTCACCGTATTCCTTATGTTTTGGGTGTGTGATAAATCTCGACAAACAGACTTTTACATCTGAAAAATTGCACGATTTGATATGTTCAATATGTTGTTCAATCAAATTAGAGTTTTTCAAAGAGGTGAATTAGAGTAATCATAGCGTTTTATGTGCAATTTTAGAAATTTCAGAAATGTCATTAATGGTGGTCGAATCACCTGAGGGGGATGATGAACAGTAACAGTTCCTCAGATGGAATGAGGCATATAGTTCACGGAAACTGCCACCTTCGAACTAGGGCAATACCAACAACCTACAATTTACGGTATATATAAAATTAAATAACATTATATAACACGGTCGATGAACTGTCCCATTGGCACTCAAGTCTTGTTTGACACTCTAAACTGCCCATTTGGTTCAGGGTTCGATTCCCACTAGAAATCGCTAAACCATTTTTTCTCTTTATTTTGGGCATTAAATTATTTGGACATGTCCAACATTGTACAAGGTATTTGCCAAAAAAACATTCCGTAGGATCTATCTATAAAACTACGTGGTAGTTACCTTACTATATATATATATATTACTTCCGAAGATCACAGTTATCAAAGTAGGTGGTTTGTCCACAACCGAGACGTATGTAGGTAGCATCCCGTCTTTGAAGCTGTCAAATTTCTATTCTGTACAATAATTAAAGCGTGTCCGAAAGTAGGGTTCATGAAGAGGAATTCCAAACAGAATCAGTGTTCGTTGCAATTGTGAATCCAGTTTCCCCAATTGCGGGAGCAACTACATTCTAAAAAAGAAAAAAAGATGATGAAATATTATGTTTACCCAAACAAGTGTCATTTCCCTTGCAGAGCGAGCAGCTGGTCTATTCTCAGTCACTGAAGTCCGAGCAACACCTATTGCATCCTTTAGTATGGTTGTGAAAAACTAGGTTGGAAGTCCTCCATAGTTTAGACTTTGGAGTAGGGCCAAACAACTACTTTGACAAGTGTGATTTCGTAGGTCGACCACTGGAAATCAGGAGAATGGAGTTTAAGCTAGGAAAAAAAAAATTCCAAGAAAAACAACCCTGCCCCTAAGAAGAACATAAAAAAAAAACTAGCAATCACAATTAATCTACATACAAGCAGATAATCACACAAGAAAGAACTACAGGGAATTGAAATAGGATTATAATGTTGTTTAATCAATTAAGTTAAGTGAATATGTTAGTGAAGAGCTCGTGGTAAACTCTTGTGTGTATGGGTCATCGCAAATGTCCACATCATGTTAGCCCACATGTTTTAACAGTTTCAGACAGGAACAAAGCTTGATTTCGCATTAGATTTAGTGTACCATTTCTAATAGCTGGAGTATTATGGCACAGTTCATATGGAATGTGTTAATCAAACATTTTCTCTAACAGAGTTCACAACTTGAAGAGGTTATTGTTGTTTTGGTGTGCGTAACATTTCTGGAGGGAATTTTTTTAACTTACACCATACAATGGATTATCAATTTTAATCTTCTCCTTCTCTTAATTTACATGTACTTCGTCACTTAATTGATTCTTGCAACGAACATTGCAATGTAACATGTATCCTAGAGCTAATTAAGTTACAAATTAACAACGCAGGTAAAATTTTGTCACATCGCTTGACATGAGCTACAATGATTGAGCGTAGTACTAGGATGGGTGACTTCCTGGGAAGTCCTCGATCATGTTGGCTCATGTAGCCGACCCCACTAATGGGATTAAGGCGTACAAGCAGCAGAAGATTAGCAATGTAGGATACTTTTAACATCACAATGCATGTCATGTACGAAGGAGGGGGGGATGCCCACAAGTTCACATACAACCAGAGAACGCTAAAGTTGATGTAGATTTTAGATCCCCACTACAGGAGTAATTCAACAGATCAATCACTTGGAAGTTCATGGATTACTACTTTTCTACACCACTGTTTACTACGTAAACAATAAAGGGGCAAGCATTTAACATATGGTCTGAAGGATGTAACAATACAAGGACCGAGTAGCATGTCCATATTTATGTAGTGAGCACAATTGACAAGTTTAGCACATGGTGAGTCAAATATGTACCCTATATTTCAAGAAAAGAAACTACATGGACACAAACAGGACATGAAACATGGAACCATTTACTCTATAAACACCGAAGAGTGTGACTTCATCCCAATCCTGTTGCCATACAAGCCATGTAAGACTATTAGACTTTAGATGGAAAAAGAATACCTAAGGTACTAGTTATGGTCACTCATCATTCCAAGAAAACCCACGAACTAGATCCTCCGATATGTGTGGACAAAGCTTTCCCATTTTCTTCTTCGAAACAACACCATCTGCAAGTTGTCCACATAGCAGAAGCATAAAAAAGTCAAGAACCAACGATAGCGTAAAATTTTGATTGACAATAATTTAAGAACATACAAGGTATCTGCCAACGAACAACTTCAATGATTTCAAGGGTTTCGTAGTAAGTACGAGAATTCATTCGATACGTACACCGAAATCACTTAAGACCTCGGATTACACAAAATAGTCAAGTTTAATCACTTAGAATCCCACCAAATCCACCGTCTACAGCTAGCTATTAAAACAAAATTTCAATACTCCACAACAAACTAAACCCTAATTATTATAACCAGATTTCACATTCACAACATAATCGGTTACATCTTACCAACTAGTCTACAATTCATATATTTTACAAAGCAAACTACGATGTAACAGTTTACAAATTACCTTGCACCGGGGGGGAGAGGATGAACGGTCTGGTAGAACAGAGAGAGAATTGAACGAAGAATTTAGAGAGAGAAAATGAAAAGGGATTTCTGAGGAGAAAGAAAATTTAGGGGTTTTTATACATAGAAGTTTGGGAACACCTATAAGGAACCGCCAACCAAAACAAGTTCAAATTTTGAATTTTGGGAAACCACCCGCCTTTGGCTTCAAATTTTTTAAAGGAAATTGGATTTCATATTCCATGGATATTACCAGGAACACCTATGGACGGTTCCAAATAAAATTGCTAGCCAAAGTTTTGGGGGTAGATAATCAACTAAATTTACACAAAATTGAAAAGCTTTGTTCTTTTAGCACATGTCAAGGTTATAGCGTAACACATCGTAGGTTATTGTGTTTTACGTAACTGGAATGGTGTCGAGGTTATGTGTTACCATTGGATGTTATATAAGTGCAAATAGCATTGTTATATGTTAGTGGAAAGGGCATGTTAACAGTATAGCAACATGTTAGTTGTTTCTATGTCATTTACATTGATAATCTTATGAGCCATGAATTACGTATAGTACACATACATGTTGACAATTATTATGTGTCACATGCCCCGACTACTTATACATGTTGCATGTGTTGCGGTTATAGTATATATGTAGTGCATTCACCTATACACATATATGTATATATTCTATATGTTAATATCAATATTATATAAAGTTCAAGTTTATCTGAAACATAAAAGCTTTCCCCCTCTAGAGTATTATTTTTAAATGCGTGTTATTTTATTGATCTTATTACCTCGTATTTGTTACGGTGATAAAATATAAGTTACTGATATCTTCTCATTTGAATGACCACCACTAATATATGCTGGTAACTACCACTAGTGTTTATAGATAATACCTACATAATGTGTATTGGCAAAAGCCCTATACGCTATTGGATATATCTAGGTAGTTTATATATTCCCCCCCCCCCCCCCGCGGGGAAATTTTGAAAGAGAGACCATAGAGAGAAACAGTGACAGGGTCGTTGTTGATGTACAAGTGTTTATGTGGCAGGCACCAATAACAACAGTTACTGTTCATCATCTTCTTCAACTGATTCGACCATCATCACGGCAATCTTTGAACTTGCCCAAAGTTCAAGAAACACAAATAAAGTGCAATAAAACGCTGGTGTTGTCTATCGTTTCTGGAAAATGAATCCCCTTGGTTGAGAGGATAGACAAAATCGGTAAAACACAGCCTTAAAAAGAGAGGTTCCGGAAGGCCGTCGGTGACTCCATGATACGAACTCCAATCACTTAGTTTATAAAGGCTTTGGTGATGTTCCATAATTATACGCCAGTTATGTCTACCGTTTTCGGAAAACGGATCCCAGTGGTCGAGAGGAGAGAGATGGGTAAAACAAACCCTAAAAAGAGAGATTGCGGAAATCCGTCGGTGACTCCATGAGTATGTACTCTATGTTCTCCGTTTACAAAGGCTATGGTGATGTTCACCACGGCTTTGTCGTTTCCGGGAAGCAGTCGGTACAAGCTTCCGGTGAGCGTGAAGAGAGATTCAGAGGAGAGAGAAATGGTGTTAAGCAAACCCTAAGAGAGAGAATCATTAGTAGTAATCACTTTAAATTACTTAACTAATATTTAACAACTTTTAATCAATTCATTTTCTGATTTTCAGAAATATTATTTTCTGATTTTTCTAAATTATAAAAAATAATTACACAATTTCTAAATTGATTAAAATGATTTTTGAAAAAAAGGGAGGGACCACTTTTTTTTATTTATTTTTTATTTTGTGGACTATATCTTGCCATGTCATATGACTTAAGGCGATCAAACTTAGTTTAATCACCTTAGAATTTTCAGTTGCCGAGTCAGGTTAGGTCGTGTTTTTGAGTTTGATTTCGGTTGTTTGTTAAATAGGTGTTAGATTGGATTATCGAATGGAGTTTGGTTGGATTGACTCTTGACGGGCCAAGTCTTTTCAAGTCGGGTGTGTTCAATAGAGGTGTCAATTCGGATGATCGGATCGGGTTTGATGAGATCGGGTCGGGTCAATTTTTAAAGTTGGGTCATGCTAAATTATTTTGTCCACGCGAGTCCAAATCTGAATCGGATATTTTTCAGGTTGGTTTCGGATCGGATAGGGTCAAATGTGGTTTTGACACCTCTAGTGTTCAAGTCATATTTATCTTTTGACCCACCTCGGTTTGAGTTGGGTTGAGATCTGTCTGGTTTGGGTTTGATTTGGATTGGGTTTATTTTGAATCAGTTCCATTCGAATCACATAAGCCCGTATCGAGTTCAAATCGTGTTGATTTTACTTCGTCATATCGTATTTAGTAAAAATATGGATTTGCTCCTTCATATAGTAGACCAATTTTTGTTCAAACCCATTGGGTTCGACTCAACTTCGGTTTGAGACTAATCAAATTTCAATACTCCCTCCGTTTTTTTTTATAGGCTAGAGATGAGATTGCGCGGAGTTTTAGTTGGTTTAATAAAATAAGATGTTAGTGGGATAGATAAGGTTATTATTTTATTGAAAAGTAAAGTGGTGTGAGAGGGAGTGAGAACCATTGGAGGAGTGAGAAATGATAAAATAAGAAAGAGTGGGGACATTAGTGGGCAATGATATATTATTAAATTGTAAGACATTTCCAAAAATAGAACTCTAGCTTATATAAAAAATAAAAAAAAATAACAAAAAACGGACGAAAATAGTAACTCTAGCTTAAAAAAAAAAACCGAGGGAGTATTTAATTTAGATAAAGTCATTCTTTACATTGTGACATTGTCTATCTCCCTATAAACATTAAAGTATAAACAAAAAAATTACACATTTAAATAAATTAGGTGTACAATAAATATTGTACATTGGTTGCGAAGTTACCATAATTTGATCAAAAGTGGTTGCGAAGTTATAGAATGTATGTTTTATCCATAAAGTTATTCTCTTTACAAGAATAAAAAATCATTAGAGAGTGAGGGATAACTCAAGAGGTTAGAGCTTCCTTTCTAGTTCCAGGAGATCCTGGATCGATTTTTACCCTCACCCTTGTGGCTCTCTAAACACTAAAAAAGAGTAAAAATTCATATCTCAGCTCAATGTGTAAAGTTATATTACTATTTTATATTAAAACTGTTTGGCGTACAATAATGTTTTTGTTAAATGGGTGTACCCAATTTTTTTTGGTAAATTTATCGAACAAAATTTTTAAGTCAATAAATTATTATACGAAACAAACAAGCATAATACATAAATTACACAAATTGACCCCACGTCAACAATTAATGTACTCGTAGGTGAAATTAAAATTAAGAGGGTGTATGAAAGTAATACTTCATCTGTTGTAAATGTTTTTTTATTTGGAATCTTGTGTGTAACTGGAGGGGAAAACCTTGAAATAAAATACATAGGGACCATTAAAATACATTGTAAGCATCCCTTTTAAAAATAAAGTACAGTGGGACCAATTTTTTTTTTTTTATTAAGACCATTAAAGTCTTGGATTCGAACTATAAAAATTAAATGAGGGTAATATGGGAAAATTAAGAGGATAAGTGAAGGATTAAAATAAAAAGTGAATAGATCATTTTGAAACACTCAAAGTAAAAGGTGTGAACATTAGTATATGAAACAGAGGAAGTACTGTGGTGTTTACCTACCAGTGTTGACTCTTTGAACTTGGTTCAATTAAACCCGTGCTCTGAATTTTCAATCGTCAATAGTGAGACGAAAGATGTCTTTTTAAGTTTTTTTCTATGAATTATCATGGAACATTCCACACAACATCTTTGCATTGAAGGTAATTTCTTCTTAAAATATAACGATAATTTAAATTATGATTGATTATTTAGTGACGTTGACATTTAATCAAGATAATAATGATTTACACTAATATATGAAGATATTTAAATTAAGAAAATGTATAAAATTCAACAACCAAGTTTTACATTATTACTAAAACTTGTCTTACATTAATAAATAAATGAGAGTAAACAACTACAATAGAGGTACTCAAAAACAAAACTCTAACTTAGACTAATAAATTGATAAGGGGGGGCCCATGTTTCTAACCTTGATAAATGTTTTTTTGTTTATCACATGTAAATGTGTGGTCTAGATTATTTTTGAGTTTTGATTGTTAAATAACATGTGCATTTTGGCCAATTGTCATTTAACGTGGACTTAATGTCCGTTTATTCCAATTTTTCTCCTGTTCAACTTCTTCATCCTCTTCCCACCCATCTTCATTCATCTTATTCTTCCGAAATCCCTACCCACCTTCATCTTCTTTTTCAAGCCGCTTCGACTTTACCACTACCAACACCAACACCAACACCAACACCAACACCACCATTTCGTCGCCGGAATTAAATGAAAATAAACCTTAAGAACAAATAAAGAAATAAAGGCCATGGTTAATTCTAAAGGGTAGGTGAGCTTCCTTCCTCCATTGATTTCGTTGGTTCTTTAATTTGCTCTGCTTTGCGGATGTTCATTGGAGGTGTATACTCCGGCATTAAAAAACAAAGGTTGAAGGAGAAGAGAGAAAGTAAAGTAAAAAACCAGGTCCACCGTCAAAATTGAAGTTTGAAGAAGGAGAAAGAAAGTAAATGTTAATGCTAAACTTACCTGACAATTACATAAATACCCCTTGATAAACATAAATTGTGTTTATCAAGATTAGAAACTTTTATTTTCTAATTGAGAAGTCAAGGAATCTAAATTACGAAGTATATTTTAAGCTAGGTTGATTTATTATTGACTAATTATAAGAGATGGGCATGGATCGGGTACCTGAACCATTATCAATATTGGATAGGTAACCGATAACCAATAATATTAAAAGTGATATTCATGAACCAAATTGATAAGTTCGGGTACCCAATTTAATATGTTAAATTTATTTGGTTTGACTAACTGATTATGTAGTTATTTTGTGTAGTCCAAAAAACCCACATTTTACTCATCTTCGGCCCAACTTCATCCATTTCACCAAATTGCAGTTATTGCACTACTGAAATTATGCAAAAAACTTTGGGCCAGTTTTGCTTTCCAGCAAACCTGAAACCATTTTAGATCTTGACCAATTTGCTTAGCAATGTTACCTTAGAAACAAATAAAACATCTTGCAGATTATTGTAGATAGTTGACCAAGAACTCCTACTACCACTAGCACCGGAGCAAACACATTTTAGCAGAAGTATAAAATGATCACATTATGACAGAAGTAGGCTAAATTCCAATTAATATTGTAGCAACTGTGTTGAAAGTTTATGTAAAATTCACAATATAGATTCTTCAATGTAAATGTACTAATCCCCCATCAAAGACTTCATATAATGCCCTATAATCAAGTGGCTTTGATGGGAAACTCCAACATCCTCATCCTCACCCATTTTTAATCCTTATAAGCAGTTGACAACATGTCAACTTTTCAGCTGAAAACCGTAAAGATGGGAAAAACAGAAACAGAGTTGTGGAACCAATTCTTATTGTGCCGACAGGCATTGTTAGAAACGCAAAAGTGTGATGCGTAATTGTGCATTCAGGATACAACAAACTAGTAAAACAAAGAGCTCTGAAACTAATATGTATACTCCAATTTTAATATTGGACCAATACAACAAAGTGAGGAGATAACACAAAAAAGTATTGATCTCCCTCTAGCAACAAAAGAAAGCAGCAATCTATGTTATTCTACAATCATGGAACTATATAAGCCTACTGATAAAGCCAATATGTCACAAGGAAATGAATTGTAATTACTAGGGTTTTCATGCAGAGAAACTGAGTCCTGAAGCTCTTGACTGGTGACTCCTTCAGCTTCAAGGGTGAAAAGTCCAAATTAGTAGAATCCACACTCCAATCAGGGGACCTTGGAGACTTTGGTGCTGGAGGACTTGCAGGAGCGCAGATATCCCAAGTTTCGAATTCCATCTCTTCGATCTCCATTGGAATTTCAAGCTGAAACATAAAAGCATGTGTATGATGAGCAAAACGGATAGAGAAGTGGGGCTTGGGGAAGAATATAAGTGAACCAAGTTACATCATTATCAGGACAAACCAAGTTACATCATTATCAGGACAAACCTCCAGATTCGGGGCCTTAGACAGTTCAGGGTGCTGAGGAGTTGCAACAGTTACAGAATCTGAAATTAAAAACCATGTATAATTTATCATCAACACAGCCAAATCAATAGAAAGTATATAATCTAGCAAGAAATTCTTTTATCTTAGGTGTTATACCTCTTTTAAGAGCAACAGTTTCCAGGAAATAATCCAAGCTCATAAATTGTCGATTTGCCTTGATGCACTCATTATGGTTATGCAGAAAACCTTCCCCTAAAGCAAAACTTTGGACTTGCTCTTTCTTGACAGCAGCTGAAACACTATGAGTGTAATTATTTTTAGCCGATTTTTCTTGAGCAGTCGGCTTCTTAGAGTTTGTTAGATCACCAAGAGGTTTCCTGCCAACCTTATTAGGCTGCACCGCCTTCTCTGGAGCCTTGAAACCATTGATATTCTTCACTGACGACTTATCTTTTGCAGGCGGCTTTCTAGAGTTGGTCACATCAGTAAGAGGTTTCCTGGCCACTGGAGGCTGCTGAATCTTCTCATGAGCTCTAAACGCATTTTCATCCATTTTAATGATAGGTTCAAACGACGTCATTGATGTTAAGTAATGGAGAGATTCAGTACACTTCTGTTTCAGGACTGCAAGGAAATCAACCAGTGATACAACGAGATTACACACATGAACTTAACTTGCAAGAATCATCCTAAAATTGTTTGCGTTTCCGGGTAGTCAATTCGACAAAACAACCAAAGAAAGACAGCACCATATAAATACACAACCGATACAGAAATCCAGCAAATTTCTCCACTGTAAAGACAAAAACTAGGAATGCATTCCAGATTTCCAGTTTACATCATACAAACCCACATTAACACAAATTCTTTCCCAACTACCATACGGGCCATAATTTCTTAAACAATCCCAATTCCCAAAATACGAATTAGAGTACACTACTTATGAAGACCAAAATTCCAAGAACTGATCATAATTAAGGAAAATTGTAAAGCCAGAAATCCTCTAAAATCATCAGGAATAGGTCCATTTTTCATTGTTCCGTTCTAACATTAAAGGGTTATAAACAAAATCCTACAACACATTACCAACCAAATTTGACTCATTATCAAAATTAGCCTTGAAAAATTGCATAAAAATTTCAAAATTCTTCTCGCTTAAGAACATCAACGTATGCAAATTGAAAAATTCTACAGTAGCAACAAAATCGTTAGTTATAATCTTGAGTAATTGTAACGAATAGTTCATTAGTTCCCCACCTTAGAAGAACACTAAATCGATTATACTGACAATTAAATCAACGATGGTTTGAAACTAAACCCTTGTGAAATTGATATTCGATGCTTTAAAAAAAATATTACCTCATAATCTGTTTCTAGGAGAGAAAAAACTCATAAACCACTTCAATGGAGAATTCAGAGTACGCTTAAATGGAGGAGAGAGAAACGGCTGATTTGGTGTTTAATATTCATCAATTCTTTTCTTTTTTCCAACGGCTAAGGTAGTTTTTAATTTTCCTCAATTCTTTTCTTTTTCCCTATTTTTCCAACGGCTAACTTGGTTTTCCTCAAATCTCATTAATTGATGATACTCCCTTATTCCCTATTTTGTTAGTGTGATGTTAAAGATATTTGCGATTAAAGATTTGCATTGATATACATAAATGAGACTAACGTTATAAATTAGAGGGAGTTATATATATATATATTATATTATATATATATATATATATATATATATATATATATATTAGAGGGAGATATATATATATATATATATATATATATATATATATATATATATATATATTATTTTTTTTTCTCTCCTTTTTAAGTATAACTTCATTCTTTGACTTTCCACATTATCCATTTACTAGTTGTCTTAAAAAAAAAAAAAAAAAAGAGAGAGAAAAGTTGTTTTTTTTTTTTTAAAAAAAAAACATTATCAATTTACTAACTTTAACTTTTAAGGAACTTTTAAGTGATCACCTTAAAAAAATATATTGTTGTAAAAACAAATTCTTAATGTGCCGACAGGCATTGTTTGAAACGCTAAACTAGTGTGATGTGCAATTGTGCTTTGAGGTTACAATAGACTAATAAAACAAAGAACACTGGAACTAATATTAATACTCCAATTTTAATATTGGATCGATACAACAAAGTCAGGAGATAACACAAGAAAGTATTGATCTCCCTCTAGCAACAAAAGAAAGCAACAACCTATTCTACAATCATGGAACTATACCAGCCTACTGATAAAGCCAAGATTTCACAAGGCAATGAATTTTACTCCGTAATGGGCGTAATCACTAGGTTTTCATGAAGAGAAACTAAATCCTAAGGCTCCTCCTCACTGGTGACTCCTTTAGCTTCAAGGGTGAAAACTCCAGATTAGTAAAATCCATACTCCAATCAGGGGACCTTGGTGACTTTGGTGCTGGAGGACTTGCAGGAGCGCAAATATTAGGGGTGAAAGTAATTCGGATTAAAAACCGAACCAAACCGAAAACCTAACCAAATTAGTAATTCGGTTTGGATTTTTTTTTTTTAATTTTTTTAGTTCGGATTGGATCGGTTTGGATAAACTAAAGAACTTGGATTGCAGTATAGATTCGGTTTGGGGTTTAAAAAAACCAAAAACAAAATTACAAACCGAAATTTTGCTCCATTACATTAAGCCCATTTTCTTTTACGAAGTATCCTAAACCCTTTCCCTTTTCATATATAAACCAAAATAAATAAAAAAAAAAAAAAACTAATTGTCAATTCTCCTTTCTCGGTATCTCACTCTCTTACAAAGAATGTATTTAACAAGAAAAGGTTGAATGATTGCAGATATTTTATGGGTGAAATTCGGGGGTTTAGGTTTGAATGTTGAGAAAGAAGGGAACAAATTTCAGTTTGGATTGGATTCTAATTAGAAAAACTGAATTAATTCGATTTGGTTTGGATAAGACCGAATCTTATTTCGGTTTGAATTCGGTTTGAGAAATCCAAAACCGAATTAATTTGGATTGGATTCAGTTTTGGCTATAATCCAAACCGCAAACCGAACTTTCATCCCTAGCAGATATCCCATGTTTCGAATTTCATCTCTTCGATCTCCAAAGGAATATCAAGCTGAAACATAGAAACATGTGTACAATGAGCAAAACGTATGAAGAAGTGGGGGCTTTAGGGAGCAATAAGAGATGCAAGTCACATCATTATTAGGACAAACCTCCAGATTCGGGGCCTTAGACAGTTCAAGGTGATGAGGAGTAGGGGTGAAAGTTGGGTTTGCGGTGTGGTTCATAGCTCAAACCGAAACCAAACCATATTATTTCGGTTTTGGGATTTTCAAACCACATCGCACCATATTACTATTGAAACCGAACCAAATCACACCGTTTTAAATTCGGTTTTTTAAAATAAAAACCAAACCACACCGCAATTTTTTGGACCTAGTGATTTGGGCCTTAATTTGCAACTTTTTATGGGCCTAATTACTCAAAACGTGGTTTTTGAATTTGATTATCCAAATTTAAAGCCAACAAATGTCAAATATCAAATAATAAAATAACAAGTTCTAACTTCTAATGAAGTAATTGTAGGGAAATAGGTACTCTAAGAGGAATTGCATGAATCATATTCATAAGCACCTAAACAGGATCTATGCACAACACATAAAGAAACACATAATTATACCTTTGAAGCGTGATTCCACAAGCGATTGACCACGAACGATTAGGAGAATAAGAGCCCCAAGCGTTGCTCCTCTACTTGGTCCACAGGCTAGGATTGAACCTCCACTAATGCTAGTTAGTCGGGCATGAACACTTCGAGTCACCTTCTACGGAGAGGGGAGGAGGAAATCAGCCACGAACACCACCACACCACCACCGTGCGACCGTACGGCTGTACGGACGTTAGGAAGGAAGTGAGGAGAGAGATTGCGTGAGGCTAGGGTTTGGTTGCTAGCTAGTCAATTCTCAATTAACTGCTGAAGTGTGTTATCTCAAACCCTAGGCAAGGCCTCTATTTATAATTAAAGTCCAAACTAAGCCCAAAATACTCTCTCTTTAATCCCATATGGCCGACCACCTTCCATGAGGCCCAATGATGGGCCTCATTCTTTGTTTAATCTATCACCCTTATGTGTGACCTCATAGGATCCATTCTATTGGGTTTTAGACTATTTGACTAGCCCAAAGATCATTTATCACGTCTAGCAACATACAATGACGACCCAAAAGAACAAACTTATTATCTCCATAATAACGATACATTAATATATCTAGTAATTGCACTTGACAAAGACATAAATCCTTCAATAATCTACCACTTGTCTGAGACAAATGTGTAATATTTAAATTCCTTAAGTCAATATGTGTTGATTTGATAATATGATTGCATCTCATGTCGAGATCATATTAATTTATAAATCATTTCTTGAAATCTGAGTTAGAATTGCAAAACAAATGATTACTATGTAATCCATTTGAGCACGTCCATGCATTTTTCTCAATTCTCCCTCTTCAAGAGGCCATGACACATTCCTAATTAAATAGGTAGACTCAATCCAATTTTGTGGCAACCAAAGCTCCCCACTCGACTTTTGAAGTAACTAGAAAGCACCCTTTATAGTCCCCTTGTACGGAACGACGTTTTGATGTACCACAGTTAAATCAATCATTTAATGAATTCAGTGTTCCACTCATGTCAAAGGAATCCACTAATATATCCGGAAGCTCTATACTTGAACTTCAAAGTAGGTCAATAGTTCGATCATGCATCATTCATGCATATCCATGTGATTGACCGAGCATCTCTATGCCCCTATAGCCCATAAAACAGCGCTATCCAATCAATCTTACATGCCAGTCCATTTATTGAAATTATTTATGTCTAATTTAATGATTTTGAACTAGGAACTTAAAATAATTTATGAATTCAGTTTACCTGTGGGATTTCATTCACCAAATCACGTATTTGATGATCCCAACAATTCATAATTATTTTGGACATTTTATTTAATAATAAACCATGAATAAATAAGATTGAAACTTTGTTTCAATTGATAAACATAGGGAAACATGACTGATGATTTTGCAATTGTGACTTCCTAGCACACAATCAAAACCATCCATCATCATGTTGATTTCAAATGAGCCCTTTGTGTCTTTAGGATATTGAAATAGTTTAGTTGATGCAATTCATAAGACATTCTCATAAACATAAATTTTGCAACTTCTATATTTTATAATAATATTCATCTCCATACACGTACTGAGAACCTTCCTTCATCCTCCCGCAAGAAATTTCGGAATTTCTAAATTGTATTCCAATGTTACATTGTTTTTCAATTGATATCTATCATCGCATGAAAACATGTGAATCAAATAGATGAGTATAGTTCATGACATGCATAATGCATCCTTTGCAAAATGCACGAGGAGAATCACTCAAACCCTTAATTTCATCAACCTTTCTTAAAGCATTGAATCTTGTTTAAGAAATGTGCCATGTTACATGGGATTGAAACTTATTTCAATATAATGTTGAACCTCATAAGAATCTTATCAATATAAGTTTCTTAACCAAGCTCAAACATTCTTCGAGTCCTATCTTTACAGATCTTGATTCCCAAATTTACTCATCATCCTCTTCAAGGTTTTTCATACAAAATTCATTATCCAACACTTGACCCTTCAAGCATGGAATAATCGCTCTATGTACTAGACCAAGAAGATTGTATAACTCCCACCAAATATCTTGTATACACAAGACCTTTTCTTTATTTTATGAGTATATCAAGCAGTTTGATGAACTCACAAAATTAAGAACATTAACTCCATGATGCTAACCTCAATCCATTAAAGGATCTTTTATGCATCCCTAGGATTTTTGGATTTTCAAAACCATTCTGATTGTATCATATACAAATCTTCTTTAATGAACCATTTCAAGAAAACGTTTTGAAATCCATCTACCAAATCTCATAAGGTAGAAATCACTAAAATATCTTTAATAGATCTTGGCAATATGACTAATGTAAAGGTTTTTTCATAGTCATACTATGAATTAGTTAAATCTTCTAACAAAAGTCTTTACTTTGCTTAGAAAACATTTTTCTTTCTTGTCTGTTTTGCTTATAATGGATCTTACCCAATTAGACAAATTAATCAAGTGTCATACACTTTCTTACAGACTTATTTAGAATCTATTTCAGATTTCCATGGTTTTTAAACCACTTGAAATTATAACTTGTCAAATCATCTTTATTACTTGCATAATCATTATGTTCCAAAATCAATATTTTTGAACTCTTAGTCAATATGAAATCATATTTCTTTGGCTAAGTTTAAGATATACTAGTTATCATTGTGGGTCTTTATGCAACAATTGAAACTTATACAACTTTGTTTAATTTTCAATGAGAAATGACAATAGAGGGTGTGCACTTGGAATATGCTACCTTCGATACTTGGTTATTATTCCCATTACACTTTAATGAGACCACGTGTTGTCATTTGTGACATGAGGTGAATCATGCTCATATTGTTTCTTTTATTTGATTACTTCTTGAATTTCTTCAAGATTTTCAAACTAACTTTTCTCAAACTCCTTCGAGGCTCTCAAACTCTTTCGAGA